CGCAGCGGGTACATCTCCGTGAAGGAGCTGCAGGCAGCGCTGGTCAACAACAACTGGTCGGCGTTCAGCGCGGACACCTGCGTGCTCATGCTGAGTGAGGAGAACCACCCTGCACCCTTGGGTGCTGCCACCCCTGGGGAGGGGACTGGGACACGGAGCTCACGAGGAGCAGCTGGGGGGGCTGCAAAGAGGGGCCCCGGGGAGACCCCATCGCGCTCTACAACCGCCTGAAAGGAGGTTGTGGTGAGACAGGGTTGGTCTCCGCTCCGGAATAGCTACGGGTAGGACATGAGGAAACGGCCTCAAGTTGCACCAGGGGAGGCTCAGGTTGGATATTAGGAAGAATTCCTACACGGAAAGAGCAGTGGAGCATCGGAACACGCTACCCAGGGCAGCGTGGACAGTCACCTTAGGGACACGGTTTAGCAGGGTGGTGTCGAGGGGCTCACGGCTGGACTCGATGATCTCCAAGGTCTTTTCCAGCCCTAACGATCCTGCGATTTCCCTGCGAACCCAAAGGTCCTGCTGCTGCTTCCCGCCAGCTTTGCAGGGACTGGAGCCTCCTGCCTCGCAGGCGTTCGGAGCTCCTCGCAGCTCCCTGCCCTGTCCCTGCTCACCCGCTCCCTCGTGTCCCCGCAGATCTGTTTGACCGGAGCGGCTCGGGCCGCATGGACGTGTACGGCTTCTCGGCCCTGCTGCGCTTCATCCAGCAGTGGAGGAGCCTTTTCCAGCAGTACGACAGGGACCAGTCGGGCTCCATCAGCTTCGAGGAGCTGCAGCAAGGTGGGCAGAGGGGCAGAGCCGGCCCTCCCTGGGGTTTGTCCTCTGCCTCCGCCGGCTCTTGGCGCCGGCCCGGCCCGGTGAGCACTCACGGCACCGTCCTGCACAGCCGGGCACCAAGGAGACCGTGGGGTGTCTCATGCACGGCCGGAGCGGCGCTGGGAGAACCGGGGTGGTTAAACCAGCACTTGGAGTGCCCTGGGCTGGTTAAACCGGTGCTGGGAGCGCCAGGGTGGTTAAACCAGCACTCGGAGGGCCCTGGGCTGGTTAAACCGGTGCTGGGAGCTACGGGCTGGTTAAACCAGCACTCGGAGGGCCCTGGGCTGGTTAAACCGGTGCTGGGAGCGCCAGGGTGGTTAAACCAGCACTCGGAGGGCCCTGGGCTGGTTAAACCGGTGCTGGGAGCGCCAGGGTGGTTAAACCAGCACTCGGAGGGCCCTGGGCTGGTTAAACCGGTGCTGGGAGCGCCAGGGTGGTTAAACCAGCACTCGGAGGGCCCTGGGCTGGTTAAACCGGTGCTGGGAGGCCGGAGCGGCGCTGGGAGAACCGGGGTGGTTAAACCAGCACTTGGAGTGCCCTGGGCTGGTTAAACCGGTGCTGGGAGCGCCAGGGCTGGTTAAACCAGCACTCGGAGTGCCCTGGGCTGGTTAAACCGGTGCTGGGAGCTACGGGCTGGTTAAACCAGCACTTGGAGTGTACCGGGCTGGTTAAACCAGTGCTGGGAGCTACGGGCTGGTTAAACCAGCACTTGGAGTGCCCTGGGATGGTTAAACCAGTCCTGAGAGCGCCAGGGTGGTTAAACCAGTGCTAGGAACTACAGGCTGGTTAAACCAGCGCTCAGAGTGTGCCAGGCTGGTTAAACCAGTGCTGGGAGTGCACCAGGCTGGTTAAACTGGTGCTAGGAGCACTGGGCTGGTTAAATCGGTGCTAGGAACTACAGGCTGGTTAAACCAGCACTCAGAGTGTGCCAGGCTGGTTAAACCAGTGCTGGGAGCACCGGGCTGGTTACAGCAGTGCTGGCACGGCTGCACTGAGCCTTCCCCTGGGCATGGAGACGAGGCGCTGCGGCTCGACCAAAACGTGAACTTTCTTCCCTAAGGAAGCCCCTTCTCTCCCTTCTCCTCTGCCGATGGCATGTGGTTAGGGCCAGTTTTCTGGGAGGAGATGCTGGGCGTGTGTCTGATGGAGGGGAAGAATGTCTGGAATTCCTGCCTTGCTGGGCTTGCTCCGTCCCGAGAGCGCTGCCCGCGCGCACCCGGCTGTCCTGGGAGAGGCTTCTTGGAGCAGTTTAATCCTTGTATTTCCCATTCCCAGCTCTCTCCCAGATGGGCTACAGACTGAGCCCCCAGTTCAGCCAGCTGCTGCTGTCCCGCTACGCGCCGAGATCCTCCAACCCCAGCATCCAGCTCGACCGCTTCATCCACATCTGCCTCCAGCTGCAGAGCCTGACGGACGCCTTCCGGGAGAAGGACACGGCGCTGGCGGGCAGCGTGCGCCTGGCCTACGAGGACTTCCTCACCATGGTGGTGACACGGATGCTGTGAGGTCCTCGGGCTCCGCGGGCACGAGCGGCCCGGGAGCTCTGCTCCCTCCGTCTCTCCATCTCCCGGTTTTGATGCTCCACCTGGAAGAACAAGTGTCCCCCCTGTCTGCATTGCTGGGCAGAAGGGAGCTCCTATTTGCGCTCCCATCCTTCCGTAGCTCTGATTATTTTTTGTCCCCGCTCGAGGGCGGTGGGTGCGATGGCCAAACGAGCAGTGAGCCCGTGCCATGACCCCCAGGGAGTGCTTAGATCTTCCTTTAGCAGCCACGAGCTTTTACGTAACGGCCACCGCGCTGTCCCTCAGCCTGGCAGCGTGTCCTTAGTGAAACATCTCTTTCTTATCCTGCTTTTGGGGACCCGTCCCCTGGAACCTAGTGACATCGGCCTTGGGTGAGGCCTCGTCTGCAGAGCACAGGTGACATGGGGGGGTTGTTGGGTCCTGGTGACATCCCTTGAACACCCTCACGTTGCCGAAGGTCCGAGCGCTCGTTCCCTCTGCTGCCAAACTGGGCTCCAGTCACAACAGGGATAATTCCACTCCTCTTTCCTGCCAAAGGCAATCTTGGATACTCCAAACTGCAGAGGCCAAACTCAAGTGATTTTGAGCTAATATTTGCCATTCCTGAATAAAGTTCCGTGCGCAGTTTGGTGTTTGCTGTCTGCGTGTTGCACAGAGCTGCTCTCCTGGCCGCAGCGCCGCTTTCCGGGTGTGCGGGTGCCGCCCTCGGGGCTCTCCAAGGCAGGAGGGCTCCGAAGCGGGGATTGGCATTACCGGGGCTGAGTCCCCAGGGCAGGATCCCTGTTCCCAGTGCAGGATCCACGTTCCTGATGTGGGATCCCCATTCCTGGTGCAGGATTCGTGTTTCCAGCGGAGGATCCACATTCCCAGTTGCAGGATCTGCATTCCTGGTGCAGGATCCCTATTCCTGGTGCAGGATCCCCATTCCCTGTGCGGGATCTGCATTCCCAGTGTGGGATCCACATTCCTGGTGCAGGAAGTGCATTCCCAGTGCAGGATCTGTGCTCCCAATGCAGGATATGTGGAGGATCCTTGTTTCCAGTGGAG